TTCCGGCTCTCACAGCCATAGAGGATAACTCCATACCGGGTCGGGACAGCCAACATGCTTCCAGACCCACAGCTTGAAGAGGCGAAGACCACGACGACCGCAGCACGACGAGTTTCACTCCCGATGGCAGCAGCCCCGACTGTGAGTCGGAGCTCGCCTTTTATTCTCCCCAGCGTGGCCAGGCTCCACCCTCGGCCACGCCCTCTTCTGGATCCCCCAGAAGGCTCCGGGCTTGGCCCACGAGTTCAACTGGTAGAACGGGCTGCTACCCAGAATTCCATTGTCTACCAATCTCCCAGCGCCACGTGCTACAGTGACTCATTCAATGTCACTACACATAAGTAAACGTTTTAACCCCCCCCTCCCATACCGCCTCTGTCCACCCAGAAGATTAATGGGTACACGATAGTTAGTCGATCGGTAGGTTGTGTGGTGGGGTAAAGTATGGGTACTCCCACCTCTGTCAAGACATGGAAGAGGAGGCCAAAACACCCTCAAGGGGCCATCTAGAGCTGCCTCTAGTGACGTCCCTTCTGACTGAACAAGATATTGGAGGGCTGCTCCTTTACCCAGAACCGGCCCTAGACCTTTGGGGGCCCTAAGCAAAATTTGGTTGGAGGCCCCTTTGATGTATGATTTTTTTCACCCACTAGCTAGCAGTGACTCTAGGGGACCCTCTGCTGGCCACGGGGCCCTTTGCAATTGCAAGGGTCGCTTAGTGGCTGGGCCGGCTCTGCCTTTACCAAATGCCACCTTTTAAACTCGGAGATAATAATCGTGTTAAAATAACAGATCCATTTAAAATAGTTAAATACTTTGTTTGAAATATTGTCATTGCCTGGGCTTCACGATATATTGAAGTCTTCATGGAGAGTCTAACATAGTCTTGATAGGTGAGGCTTGGTAGCGGGTGACGTCAATTAATATGAATCATAATTTCAACTTGTAATGCATCGCACATCATTCATTTACTCTCCAAGAGGAAGAGCGACTCGGAAGCACGAGGAAAAATCGCAGACGAATTGAAGGCAGCAGCCAAGCAGCGAGCCAGCGCCAACAATGCCCCCCTCCCCACCCCCATATGCTTACACAATGTGGGAGGAAAGCGGATTAAGCACGCAGGTAAAACTCACGCGCGCACACGGGGCACAACGCTACATCCCACACGGATGGAACAGACGGAGCTGGCAGGAGCTGCACTGTCGTCGTCTGGCAGAGCAGGGTAGGGCACCTCAAGGCTCCCCCCACAACGTTTGTGGGATCAACCGAGGCTCACCTCTACGAGTCGTGCATTAACAAGCGTGGATAGGGCACCATCGCCAAGCTGAGTAAATGGACTCATTGTTAGGGGGGGGGGGGTGCAATCGGTTATCGGCGTTTGAAACATATTTGAATGCATTCCGGGAGTTAATGTTTGAAACGGTCTTTGTGAAGTTTAACGAGCGTATGAATGTGAATTGGCCCCCCTTAAAGAATACGAGATGTGCACCATGATCTGAATTCCTGCATGCGACATTGAGGCCATGGATATGCTAACTGCTGGATTTTCTTTTTTTACGTTATGCCAAATGTGCGGATAGTTAAACGTCCAGGTGATTTCCTGCTCAAATGAGCATTGCAGCAGAGTGCTCTCCTGTTTACAGCCCCTGCATAGCCAGGAGGTAGGACATTCCAAATTCCTGGCTATGAAAATTCATAGCAATCACCACCCCCAACCCCACTCACCCCGAACTGCGAACACTTGGCAAAGCGCCCTCCTGATAAAGAACCAACAGACTCCACCGAGGCAGACTGGCAAACACACACACAAACTCCTGAACAGAACAGTAAGCAGTCTGCCCGTGCGTTTGTGTCTTGACTGCACCGTTGTCGGCAGACGGGAGAGAGTACACACCAGAGGTCGCAAACGGGTTTTGATTCCTTACCCGTACCCGTACCCGGCCGCACCAGGGTCACAAACGGGTACCCGTACCCGGCCGTACCCTACCCGTACCCAGCCGGGTACGGGTATCTGATTGCGACCTCTGGGATGAAGCCATGTTGCAGGCGCGGGTGGGTTGATTCTAGGAACTTGAATTGTGAGAAGAGACAAGACGTTGGGAAATGAGTGACAAACAGTTACTCACCAGTGACTCACGGTCTACCCGTACCCGGCCGCACCAGGGTCGCAAACGGCTACCCGTACCCGGCCGGGTACGGGTAGCCAGGTATCGGGTAGGGTACGGGTATCGGGTACCCGGTTGCGACCTCTGGCACACACGAACACGGTCTTGCACGAGCCACATTCACGGGCAAAGAGAGCCACCCCCCACCGGTTAAATGGCAGCAATGCCCCGTTAATGGGGGGCGCCTTGGTGGGCGAGATGTCAACTACCTCGCCTGCTAAATTTCGATTTAAAGCTTTCGTGACTGCAGGGATTCATCTTCTTGGTTCTTTCGGTAAAGTCACGTAGAATGGAAATAATAAAATAATAAAAATAAAACATAATAAAATGTTTTATTTTTCTTATTTTATTATAAATAATATAAAGAAAACATTATAAAATAATGTTTTATTTTTCTTATTTTATTATTTCCATTCTACGTGACTTTACCGAAAGAACCAAGAAGATACCTCGCCTGGTATACAGGACGGCGCGGGTTACGATCCCGACCCTGACGCCTGCTGAATATTTGGAGTTTGCAAGTTCTCTCTCCCTGCGGTCGCGTGGACTGACACTTGCAGCGACGCAGCGCCTACTGCTGCCCAGCAGCAGCAACTGCGGTGGACAGAAAGCGCGCACGCCGTCGAGCATAGACACGGCTGTGTGAGTGTGTGTGCCGGCAGGGCGGAGGAACTGGGGCAAGGGTCACGGTAGATCAGAAGTCCCCAATCCCCGGGCCGCGGGCCGGTATCGGTCCGTGGCCTGTTAGGAACCGCGCCGCACAGCGGCAGGAGGTGAGAGCGGTGAGTCTGCACGTGGCCCACCCCCATTGTTTTATTATTCACCACTTCTATTCGCGTTTCTTTCCCGCAGTGCGCACTTGTCCCAGTCACAGTGTTGGTAAGCCCACAAGCTGCTAACCCCTAGTAGCCAAAATGAGTAACAAACAAAGTCAATTGAGAGCTGTGAAAAAATTGTCTTCCACGAAACCGGTCCCTGGTGCCAACAAGGTTTGAGGACCGCTGAATTAGGGGAGACCTCACAGGGAGGCCCCTGGAACCCTCTGGTGGGTTCGAGAAGGGAGGCGCGGCCAGGGCGGAGCAAGGCCGCGCCGAGGAGAATAAAAGCAGCGGAGAGCTCCGGGCTGTCGGCTCTGGGATCATTGCGCGACGAGGCAGTGATTGGGGCTGTCCCGGTCGACGCCGTCGGTGCAACGCGGCCAGGGTCGTGTCTATGACGGGCTGTACGGCAGCGAGGTCGAGAGAGAGAAAGCCGGAGTTGGTGTGGACGGGATAAATAAAGATAGAGGCGGTGCCTCCTTTCAACGACCTCGTCTCCGACGGTTGCGCTTTCGCTACGTTGTCCCCACCTGAAGAAGGGCGCTTGTGTTGCGCCCGAAACGTCGTGATTTAATTTATTTTTCATTTATTTTATACCTATGTGACTTTACCGAAAAAAACCAAAGCGTGCGAGACAACTCAAATACTGGGGGGCCCCACCTGACCAATTGCCGCACCCCCCCCCCCCCCGAGCCGATGTCGTCACTGCGCCACTGCAGCAGTGTTCATAAGGAACGCATCGAGCTAAAACGTCGTCTGTAATCTCTGCAATGGGCTTCACGGTGGCAAGATGTTAACTACCTCGCCTGGTATGCAAGGAGGTCGTGGGTTCGCTCCTGACCCTGATGCCTGTTGTACACGTTTGGAGTGAAGCATCATCTCTCCCCGTGGTCGCGTGGATTTTTCTCGGGGTTTTCCCTCCACATTTAGAAACAACACGGCTACATAGCTCAATAAGCATTAACTAGTCAAATTAAAATACAGATAATCGATTATCCGCCGGATTTTCAAAAACGCCAATCACGTAATTATCTAAAACAGCTTATTTTTGCACATTCTTGTATGATATTTTGCTTTTAGGTGTTGGTTCTTGGTGTTTAAAATGTGTAAACTATTTAAAATTGGCATAAACATACCAAAAAATCCTACTTTTAAATGTTACCTATTTATTGTACCGTATTTACCACACGTGCAGTATTTTCATCGTTTACGTTGTATGTAGTGTATAATGTACTGTAAACAATAACACTTAACACTGAAATCAAGCAAAGCTACTTTTTTTATCACGCTACATGGTGCCGATCGACGGACTGGTTACAGCCTTTGGAACGGTTTTGCCGGTTTCACCGGATCGGCGAGGAACCATCGGATAAAGTTGGTAGCAGCCGAATAATCGACGCTCAACTGTGCTGTAGTTCATAGTTTAAAGTTCCCTCTCGTGCTGCGGAAGTCCGTTAGCGCCCTCGACCCGTAGCTTGGTGGCTCTACAATGCCGCGTCTCCTATACCTGGGCGTGTTCCATGTCAGTCCGAGCTTACCGAAGGAAAAGCCGAATCAGCCAAGATCTCTATCACGAGTTGTTAAGATAAAGCAGGCGCACACACACACACGCTTGCAGACGATTAAAACGAACACAGGGTAACGGTAGTAGTGGAATGACCGGTAGTAAAACTACTTTGAACAGCTACACAGCTCCGATGTATATTGCTAATTATTTGGTGGCCATGTATTGGCAACGGTGCACTGATACAATTCACAAAATTCAACACGTTCGTCAATAATTGATGTGTTCTGAAGGATCATTGCCCAGAGCGTCGTCTATCTTTTTATTTTAAGGCAATGTTATTGAAAAAAATGTTACGTCTCTATGTTTTGACAACTCCATTAACTGCAGGAGTTGAAGTAATGAATGTTTCAATCGGACTTCAGCGGCTTTCACAACTCCAATCCTGCGGAATAACGTCCATTCCACCCCTCTCCACATCGACCAACGTATACGAACGTAATGCACGTCATAAAATGAAAGCACAAATTTATTTCCTCAGAACCAGATGTCACCCCAAAGAACGATGCAAGTAAAAAAAACACAATAAGTTGCTACGAAAAAACTAACCACAACTTTATTACAATCCAAGTTAAACTATTATTGTGAACACAGCACAATCGTGTTGGCTGGGCAAAGGGCTGGAGCTGATCCACATGATCATGATCGTAGATCATTAAATAGTTTCAAATGGCCAAGCGTTTGGCATTCATATCAACCGAAACGGATTAGACTCACAATACAACGCATTGAATTGTGCACGTACTAATCCATGTTTGATTTGTATCTGCCAATACCACTGTAGATTCTATAGATTCGCATTGCTTTAGATTCAATGTGCAGCCCCAAGGGCCGAAACGAAAATATTGCTTCGCGAATTTAAATGACCACGGAATTGGTGACATTTCGACGGTGGCAGGAATCGGTGGCAGTTGGTCGTCTCCACAGTCAATGGCAGCGGCGGACGTGCACGGGTTGCCATCATGTTTGACGCTCGCACGCGTGTGAAGGCGGCATTGACCAGGCCCTCTTGCTGAGCTGCAATTCCCAAACCGTAGGAGTTGATGGGGCTGCAAATATGTGCTAATCGGTGGCTACAACGGCCGCTCTCATTGCTCACAGGCCGACGCTTAAAATGTAGCTCTTTTAAAGCCACTTTTTTGAGAAAGTGTATTTTCTGTAAGCCATGGAAAATGACGAAACGTGGTGGGGTGTGGGGTTACGAACTCATTTGGTGGGTTGGGTCCTCTCACCTGGGAAGACAGGCGTCAGTGCAACACAACACATGCCGCCTTCATGCGGGAGAGAATAAGAGAGGCTGAAAACTCAAAAGTTCACATTTTAGGCTCCCTGTTTTTACTATCCCTTACCTTTAAGCCAACCTCCGATATCGTTCAGCTGTGCACTGTTAATAAGCACGCAAGCAGATTTTCATGTCCCTTGCTGCTTGACTTTTTAAACCACATCCCTGCAGTGGACTGAATGCTTCACAACATTCGGGACAAGCGCCACCTCGATTTTCTCGTAGAAAAATTTCCCCACCACTGCCAGCCGTTTTTATCCAGATTCCAATGCTGAAAACGTTTCCAGAAAATTAAGCCCCATCAAGATTGAAATAAAGACTTCATCTCCGGACTGAGGACAAATTCCACGACCGGCCGGTATAAATCACATGATATTTCTCTTGTTCCGTATATTTTCTTTGAATAAACTATAACATCTTAGGAGCCCGCTTCTCTGCTGTATCCACAGCCACATTCTGGTTTATCTTGGCCACATCTACCGTATCTCAATGCTTTGATGCTGTGCTGTGGGAGGGGGGGGGGGAACCCACTTCCGGAACAATACGCAACCGAACATGTCACTCCGAATGCTCCGAAGCATTAGGTTATTTTTCGATTCGATAGGGGCCTTCAAAAAGAAGTGTCACGTTACACACCGAAGCGGTTTTGTGTGCGCGTCGCTGAAAATGCAACTTCAAAATTTCAGACTTCTCTTCGCCTTGTGTGAAAGCGCAAAACGACGACGAAATGCTTTTAAAAGACACGGTGGGGGCGAGGTGATTACAATGCAATGAGATACACGTGTTAAGAGGTTAAAACAAAAACAACACAGTACGGCGGCAAATGACAAAAGACTAAAACACCCACAAGCAATGGCTCATTCAGAAATCTAAAACATTTCCCCCACAACCCCTAAAATATGTTTTGTTATTTAACGACGCGAGCAATGCAAGTTATATACTGAATGTAAACCTGTCCTGCTCGTCAGTAAACAGATGTTCATGCTGCTCCGGGGTCACTGCGCAAGTGGTTGCTGGGTTGAACGCCGTTGAAATTTGTCTTCGTAGGGAGAGTTTGCATTCGCGAGCTGCTTTTGAATATTTCCGTAGCGTGTAATGTCTCGTCGTTATTTCTTCCCTCCGTGCGGTGTTCTAGCGTCTTTGCTTCTCCGTAGTTTTATTTTTGTCACTTTTGTTTCCTCTCCTTTTCATTGCAGGCGAGCGAAAGAGAGACCACAATCACGTGACCTTTCTGCAGGCGCACACCAGCGGGTAGATCTGCTCTATGGCCTGCGCAATCAGGGACACGTTCGGCGCTGTCGGCAAGAAACACAAAAGATCACCGTCACTGATCAAGCATCACGACCACTTCAACGTCACCGTTCACATTCACCCATGTGGTGCCCAATAACAACTTCGCAGTCTATAAACTTTTTACCAGGTAAGACCCACTCAGCTATATAGCTCTTTTTCAGAAGCAACCTGGCCACAAATGATAGCTCAACGAAGTGGCTTATCGCGTGGAAATGTATAGCAGCCAAATACTCTAAACGCACATTGCTTCTAAATCTGGGGGGAAAAACTGGACGACCCGGAGAAAAATCCACGTGACCATGGGTAGAACAAGCAAACTCCAAATATACAGAAGGCGTCAGGGGTCGGGATGAACCCACGATCTCCTGCATACCAGGCGAGGGAGTTAACATCTCGCCGGCGCGGCACTTTTTTCAGAAAGTCGCTTTCCGAAGAAGAACGGAAAGTTGCGCATACTTGGAATCGCGTAGAATCGCAGCGGCAGACAGAAAGAGGAACGCACGTGTTAAACACGCCACCTTGACTGTCAAGAAGAGTGGGCTCAGGCGAGACTCGCAACCAAGTCGCAGCCGATGGAGCAAGCGCCTCGAGAGGACGACCACCGTGTATCGACGCTGTTAAGTTGTTAACTTGCAGGGCCGTGAGATGGCGATGGCTTGGAAAAGCCTTGATCCAGGCAGTTGATTTATCGTGGGTGGTGATCATAATAATTGCAACTTGTGATGCGCACAGTATTCGTTCACTCTCAAAGTCACGAGGAACCACAGACAACTACAGACAAGCAGGAAGGCCAGCCACGTGATGAGCCAGAACCAACAATTGCCCAAGTTCTGTGGTCCTTGATATATTAAGGTGTTATCGGCCAATTAATTCGTGTTTATTTGCGGGAAGAATTCATAATAAAGGTTTCTGGGTTAGAACGCGTAACTATATAAACGTCGTAACCTGCCAAACCACGTAAGCAAAACGTGCCAATTCGTTATTACTTCAGCCCACCGGATGTGTGTTGGAGAGTAAATCCACAACATTTGCAATTTGTGGGAAGAAACCGAAGCTTTCGGAGAAAACCCACGCGTGCGAGGGGGGGGGGAGAAACGTTCTATCACATCCTGACTGAGCAGGTGGAGTTCACATTCTTGCTGCACTGCCTTCTCCTGACAAGCCAGGGTATAAAAACCTCCTCCCCTAGATGACGCTCTCCCTTGCTGGCAGTTCAAGTGTAGTTATCGCAACCGTGTTGAACATTATGAAAAGATAAAAGCACGTGAACAATAAACGCCGTCGCAATTGAGCGTGACAAATCAGAGATGGTTTTGCTCGAACGTGTCAAGGTTAATTCTGAGATTTCGTCTTCCAGAGGCCGGTTTTCTAACCTGGGGTTATACAATGCTTTCGTCAAGCATTTGACAATGGCAATTTGTTAATCACATAGGGTGGCAAATAATAACAACGTTGTAATGGTAGAGGAAGAATTAGAGAAAATCACAATCACACAAACGTAGAGGCAAATGGGTCGAATTAAAACAAACGGGTCCGTTTTCCCCAATTTATTCCAAGTATTATGCTATCAGCACTATGTCAAGAGATGAAGCATCCATTTCGATTTAAAGCTTTCGTGACTGCAGGGATTCATCTTCTTGGTTCTTTCGGTAAAGTCACGTAGAAGGAAAATAATAAAATAATAAAAATAAACATAATAAAATAATTCTCATGACGTTTCGGCCACAACGCAAGCAGCCGTCCTCAGGTGAAGACCTGGTCTGTCAGACGCTGTCTCCCCGACAGACCTGGACTTCACCTGAGGACGGATGCTTGCGTTGTGGCGAAACGTCGTGAGAATTATTTTATAATGTTTTATTTTATTATTTTATTATTTTCCTTCTACGTGACTTTACCGAAAGAACCAAGAAGATGAAGCAATCCAATCAGAAATCTCGGAGAAGTGCACTCCGTGTGTCAGATAATGGTCACGGATGAAATTTTTTACAGGATCTCTCCATAAAGAGCCTTAAAAGTAGCCTTGTAATCCAACTGGGACACACGTGTACACACATACACATGGCATCTCTATCTCTGACTCAAACCCATTATGTCACACGTTACCAATCAGCAGGCGCATGCAGTGTGTAACGGCCATCTATACATGAACGTAGGGGGGTTGGAAGGTATTGGAATGCGTGCCGCTGTGGAACGCGAGGAAAGGGTGCTTTTCAAGCGACGACAGAGACGCTTTGCAAGCACGGAGCGGTACTGTGAGTGTGATGCTGCCCGTTGAAAAGATCTGCAGCGTGGCCGACAAGGACTTTATCTTGTATGTTGCGGCTGGGTGCAGCTCCGGCTCATAGCTATGGGTCACACACGAGACAACAAAGGGACCTGTCACGTTGTTGTCGAGTGGTTCCGAGTCCGTAAAACTAACGGCGGTGGTCCATATCAACTGAGGTCAAGCTGCAGGTGAGATAATTCGGACGTGAATTGCCCACTGCTCCACCTAGGCGTAAAAATGTGTCTTCATGTCCAGGAATTTAATTATATAGAAAAATGTGTCCGGCATGGTTGCTCATGACGTCAACAAAATACCCACCGTAAACATTTGTTAATATATATTTGCATTTTACGTGAGTGTATGTAACTATAAAAAATGAAAGTGTGAAATTTCGATTTAAAGCTTTCGTGACTGCAGGGATTCATCTTCTTGGTTCTTTCGGTAAAGTCATGTAGAAGGGAAATAATAAAATAATAAAAATAAAACATAAAGTAATTTTCGTCTTGACAATTATTTTATTTTTATTATTTTATTATTTTCCTTCTACGTGACTTTACCGAAAGAACCAAGAAAAATGAAAGTGTGGTTGAAGAAGCCCCTCTTGACACTCAAGTCAGTGTGGCAAGCTAACGAGCAGAGCGGAGAAGGTCAACGCAGGCAGCTATTACAATAAAACCCCATGCAATGTTGAAGGTTTACCAAACACACACAGCCTGCTGTAACACAGCACATCGCACAAGATTCACCCTCGAGGTCAGGGGTAGGCAACCTTTCGAAGAAGAAGAGCCATTTTTTAAAATGTATTGACCAAAATAGTTCGAGAGCCTCATCAAACGCAGAGCTACTTGTACACAAACACAGCAGCAGGTGACAAACACATTCTGACTTAAATAAACAAAATTAAATAGGGTGATGGAATAAACTGCATCTATTTAGTTTCGATTTAAAGCTTTCGTGACTGCAGGGATTCATATTCTTGGTTCTTTCGGTAAAGTCACGTAGAAGGGAAGTAATAAAATAATAAAAATAAAACATAAAATAATTCTCACGACGTTTTGGCCACAACTTCCCTTCTACGTGACTTTACCGAAAGAACCAAGAAGATCTATTTAGTTTTTGCCCCCCTTCCTTATTCTTTACAATATAGTTTGACCGTGCATGTTGTTGTCACCAAGGCAATCCATAGTGTCCCATCCCGTTAAAGAGCCCACCACAGCACGCGCTCCAGAGAGGCACGGTGGCCGAACCCTGGGCTAGGTTTCATGTTCCTCTGAATGAGTGCAGTCCCGTCCACGTGATACCCCCACCGAGTGTCATGCTAATGCAATGGGTCAGCCATTGTTGTGCGAGCTTAAGACGCCCCGTAAATTAAACCTTGCGAGCAATACGGGTAGTATATATAACCACGACCTCTCTGCTGATTTGTTGAAGCTTGCTCTACGCTCTTCATTGCAGTCTCAAAGTAGTAGTTCCCTGTATTTTTTCAAAAACACCTCGTTTTGTAACATCCCACGATTTGATACATGTTACGCGAGTGGCAGGGCATTTAGCTTTCATAACGAGTGACCAAATTCGACGAGAGAGAGACCAGACAATCGTCTTTCTAACGGGCCAAATTCAATATTAATCGTAAGACATATATGGAAGAACCCAAAGAATATAGACATATACTTGACTCAATTGAGATTCACTGTATCAGATAGCTATATACACAAAAAAGTTTTGTTTCTTCATGACCAGTAATTAAAAACGGCAATGTTTAGTGTAATTCCAGCTTATAATACGATAATGCACGTACAGTAATACCCCGGTTTACCATCGGGGATGCGTTCCTGAAAGGTGTGGTGATGAATTCTAGATTTGAAGCTTTCGTGACTGCAAGGATTCATACTCTTAGGTTTTTTCGGTAAAGTCACGTAGGTAAAAAATAATAAAATTAAAATTAATAAAAGTAATAAAAAAAAAAATGACGACGTTTCGGAGGCAACACAAGTCTCCGTCATCAGGTGGGACCGTCACAGCTAAATTTATTATTTTATTTTTATTATTACTTTTATGAATTTTATTGTTTTTTACCTACGTGACTTTACCGAAAAAACCTAAGAGCGGTGATGAATGTCGAAACATCAATCAACGCGATTCACAGGGCAGCTGGAAGAGAATGCCGAGGTGACGGATACGAGAAAGGATGGACGATGCTGTCAGCGACGTGATCGTGGGTGGAGGCGACGCAAATCAGGTAGCGGTATTCATAAAGTGACGATGTGTTTGCGAAACCACGTAAGAGTGGGGGAGACGTAAATGTGGGTCTTACTGTGCTAATCACAATCCAACAGCAGCATACTATCTTCTTGGTTCTTTCGGTAAAGTCACGTAGAAGGGAAATAATACAATAAAATAAAAAACATACTAAATAATTCTCACGGCGTTTCGGCCACAACGCAAGCAGCCGTCCTCAGGTGAAGAATAGGTCTGTCGGAAAAACTGTCTGAATACATTCATTCAGACACTGTCTTTCCGACAGACCTGTGAATTCATTCAGACACTGTCTTTCCGACAGACCGTTTTTTCACCCTGAGGACAGCTGCTTGCGTTGTGGCCGAAACGTCGTGAAAATTATTGTATGTTTTTATTTTATTTATTTATTTTATTTTATTATTTCCCTTCTACGTGACTTTACCGAAAGAACCAAGAAGATGAATCCCTGCAGTCACGAAAGCTTTAAATCGAAATTTAACAGCATACCAGTTAGTCAATCACGTGACCATGCATAGGAAGCACCTGGCTATTGGTCGATGCGTTTTGGTGAAGTCCACAAGACGGATCTCAAAAGGCATGGAGCAGACGGCCAGCACATTCACCACCTTGAAGGCGCAGAATCGGACCTGTGTTGAAAACAAACAGAAGCATCAACAGCGCAGCCTAAGCAATATATAAATTACAAGTCGATAAAATAACAAGTCGTGGAGTTACATCTCACAGGAAGGTCCGATACAAAAAACAAACACCTCCTGTAGACATTTAAATTTCATTTTGTTTACGCACGTGACTACTCAAGAGACCAGGATAGTCTCGTTTGCAAGAGGTCACCAAAACGACAAAGTAAAACAAATAAAATCACGTACCGCACTGAAAACAAGTAAACCCGTAAAAACAAAGTTTTTCACTCTAAATCCTTTATATGCGTGGCGGCTAGAGTTCCTCGTTCTCTGGCTTGAGATGGCTGCAATCTATGGGTCAGATGATTGTCTGCCAGTATTAAGCAATTGGTAATTAAATATTTAATTTGTTTTCCCTAAACAGTGTAAAATTTTGGAAAAAAATTTCACGAAAATTAATTGTCACGCACAACGAGTCTGTGTGGAAAATGTCAGCTCGATTGGATCACGGGAAGTGGGTTAAAAACGACCGAAAGATTTGCACGGTCCTAAGCAAGCAAGCATGCACGCGAACTTAATATAAAGGATTTAAAAATAGAAATCAGTGCAATAGTCAACTGTGTCACGGTAGAAATCCCAAACATTGCACGAACATAAATAAATGTTGAATAATAAATCCCCTTCAGCACAAGCCAGCTAGAGCAGATCACTTCCAAACTGATCATAGTACAATTACAAATCAATCTACATAAACATATAACAGAAAAAGGGTGACCATTATACTAAAATGTGAACAGTAATGGATGCGTGTCAAAGATATTAACATATTCTTAGGTTTATTTGGTAAAGTCACGTAGGTAAAAAATTTTAATTAAAAAAGTAAAATAAAAATAAAATAAAATCACGACGTTTCGAAGGCAACACAAGCTTCTGTCTTCAGGTGGAACCGTTCCACCTGAAGACGGAGAAATAAAAATAAAATAAAAATCACGACGTTTCGGAGGCAACACAAGCTTCCGTCTTCAGGTGAAACGATTTTTATTTTATTTCTATTTTAATTTTATTAATTTAAATTTTTTACCTATGTGACTTTACCAAAAAAACCTAAGAATATGAATCCTTGCAGTCACGAAAGCTTCAAATCTAGAAAGATGTTAACTTGTAATACAAAGAAGTTAACCGACGCTGCATGCTATGCCCGAGGCTGTCCAATATGAGCTGAAAGCTTCATTGATGAGCAAAAACACTTAAAAGTTACGACCGAGTGTGCTGCCATGGCATTGAAGAGATATTACCGCCAGAAACGGTGTGAAACGGTGTGTTAACATGACATCACTACCGTGCTATGGAATGCCTGACTGGAGTTTGACACATTTTCCCCCCCCGCTAATTCCATCACCATTATTTGGAGTCGGAGTCAAGTCCTGATTCTTTTACGTGTCATTTGTACTCTCAATTCAGTGCATTACCACCAATCTAACATTTGTATAGGATCTTCAAATAATTAGCAAAGTTGTAATTAGTCACTTCTTAAACGTGTGATTGTATGCATTTATCTGCGTGCAAGAATTTACTTTAATCAATGAATTAGTGTTGTTGGCATGGGATGCCGACGAACCAGAGCTGTTTGTTGTTTGGCTTAAACGTTCCATTATCAATGCAATTATTCAGCACACAGTTATGACGAATTATCACAGCCTGAATGCCAGGGCTATTGATGAAAAGAAAACTACCTTTTAAATCATATTTTAAATCATATTTCCTTGAGTGTTTGAAAATTGATTTCGCTGGGCATACAGAC